GTCGGCGGCGGCGGTGGCGGCGATGAGGCGAGGCCAGGGGCCAACTCGGGTCTGGGCCTGTACCGGCAGGTGCGCAAGCTGTTTGACGAGACGCTGCTGGCGCGCATCTCGTCGTCGGCGGCCATCTACCGCCAGTACGCGCGCCTGCTCGAGTGGACGGGCGAGAACGCCAAGGCCATCGCGGCCCACCTCAACGCTTACCGCGCCGGGGCGGGCAACCCGGCCGACGAGGCCGTCTGCCACGACCCGGCGCGCTTCGAGGAGGCGTGCGTCGACGTCGAACGCACCGTCGAGGTGCTGCTTCGCCTCGGACCTCGGCCCGCGCAAGAGGGCGGGGGCGAGGGCGAGGGCCAAGGTGCGGCGGGTCCGAGGGCCATGGACGACTGCAAGTACCAGGCGCGCAGCCTGGTGCGCACGTTTGTAGCCAGGACCAAGGCCGAGTTTGAGGAGCGCGAGGACTGGGTGAGGCTCAAGGAGATGGTCGCCGAGCTGCGATGAGGCCGCGCAGGGGCCGGGTTGGGGGCATGTCGTGAGGGATAAGTCAAGGTCCGATGCAATTCCAGCAGGTGGGCAGATACAACAAGGAGGCAGAGAGACAGAAGGGGGCGTCGAGGCGAGAGTGAAGGGTTCGCCAGGTCGCGGTGTGCGCGCGTGTGCGTATGCATGTGCGTCGAGGAGCGGGCACAGCAGCAAGACCGGACGAGCCCCGACGGGTGCAAGTAGAAGCGCTGCGATGGACCGGGCCGCCGCCTTGCTCAGAGCACTGCAGTCCCTCCGCCGGCGCCGCCTACAACGACGACCATGACGAGAGCGGCGAGCATGGCCGCCGCGGCTGCCGAGGTCGTACCTGGGGAGCGGAGGGGCGCGACTGCGGCGTTGGGTGCTGCGGATGTCGTTGGGCTCGGGATGACCGAGGCGGTGGAGGTCGAAGACGACATTGACGACGACGAGGAGGAGGACGAAGAGGTGGAGGACGAGGAGGATGTGGCGGCAGAGGAGGAGCTGGATGAAGTCGATGTCGGGTTGATCCTGTCCCGTTTCGCGGCGGGTGGAAAAACAAGGCAATGAGGGTTAGAGAGGTGAGGTTAGCATCGCACGCCCTCGTCCCAACGCATTGGCGACGACAAAACCGGGGAGCAGCCTGGTGCTGAGGTCGAGGCGGGGGACGTACGTTTCGAGGGTGAACGAGATAGCGCTGCCGATGATGGCGCTGGCGCTCGTACTGCTACTGCTCGCACTCGACGACGAGGGGGAGGAGGACGAGGAAGTGGGAGGAGCGGTGGAGCTACCGCCGCTGCTGGAGGGGAGCGACGCCGACGACGACGAGGGGGAAGGTGTCTGTGCGAACACCGAGACGAGGAGCGTCACGAGCACGGCGAGGATGTGGGTGTATCGCATCGTTGTTCGAAGGTTTGAGGCTAGGACGGGAGGGGAGGGGAGGATGGTGGTGGTGGTGGTGGAGGAAGGTGAGGAAGGTGAGGATGGTGGATGTATGCGACCCTAGCGTAGCCAGAGAGGCGACTGACTTGGGACCACATGCCAAGCCCGCCTTCCTTCGACCTGGCCTGCCTTTGACCGACCGACCTGCCTGCCTGCAGCTGGCTGGCCAAAAAAGCGCGGCCTTGGCCTGGCCTGGCCTGCCGCCGCGTGCGGGCGTGCCTGGCGGAAGGGTAAGGCAGGCGACGCATCGACGTCGGGATGCCGGATGTCGACCCGCCCGGCGCCGCGAGAGTGCGTCATGGAACCGTGCCTTGCCTGCCCGCTGCCCTGCCTCGCAAGTCGCAACGGAGTGGGCCACCACCGACTCGCCGACTTTTCAAAACGCCGCCAAAAGAAAAAGGGCAAGAGACCGGCCGGCCCCCTTCACTCTCGACCTACACAGCCGCACCGTGGCCCCACCGCACCGCACCGCACTGCACCGCACCGCACTCTTTCTTCGACACCACCACCGGCACCGGCGCTTGCTTGGCCGGCCGGCTGGCTGGTCGACCGGCACGCCTGCAACGGCAATAACGGCCAGCGGATGCGGTAACACGCAATGATGAGCGTGCGGCTAGCTTTACGACGGTGGCCTACCCTGCCAGCCGGGCCATGTTAGGTACAATCGGGCCGCAAATCAAGAGGCTCGAGGAGCGAGGGCTGGGCTGGGTACAGAGGGCGGGGCTCAGAGAGGTATCGGTGCGGCCTGGCCACGCTGCTCGCCGGCCGACGCGCAACGCCAGCCGCTCAGCGTCTCGTCTTCTTGGCCTTTGACGACGACGACGACGAGCCGGCGGCCGACCTCTTCTTCTTGGGCTCGGCTGCACCGCCGCCGCCACCGCCGCTGTTTCTGCGCTCCATCATCTCCTTCTGGATCCGCTCAAACTCTTCGTCCGAGGGCCGACTCTCCTTGCCGCCGCTCTTGGCCTCGAGCTTGGCAATCATGTCGTCAAACGCCGACGCCCGGTTCTGAGCCTTTCTCCGCATGAGTGCCTGCAGCCCCGCCAGGTCGCTGTCGTCGTCCGCGCCGCCGCCGCCGCCGCCGCGTTTCGAGCCCGCTTTCGCCTTGGTGCCGTTGGCCGCCTTGCCCTTGGCGTCTGCCTTGGTGCGGCTGCTCCGCTTCCTCGGTCCCTCGTCCGACTCGTCCTCGTCTTCCTCCTGGTCCTTTTGCTTGTCGTCGTCGCCGCCCTTTGCGGCTCGCTTCTTGGCCGCCGCCGCCGCCGCCTTGGCCTTGTTTGCGCCGTCGCCAAACAGGTCGTCCCAGACGCCGAGCTCCCGCGCCAGCTTTTCCGCCTCTTTGGCCTCGCCCTGGGCCTTTTTGCGCAGCCTGGCGCGCCCCGCCTTGTCCTTGCTCGTCTTTGTCCACGCCGGCTTGCGCTCCAGCTGGCCCTCGTCAATCAGGCGCTCGATAATGTCGATGATGCGCTGCTCGTCGACCAGGAACTCGCTGCACGGCACGGCGGCAAAGATGGCCTCGAGCGAGCCGTCCGAGTCGTCGTACGCCGCGGCAATGTCGTCGCGCTCCTCGTCCGAGTCTGCGACGTGGGTCGGTGCAGAGGGACGGCGAAGGGAAGGGGGGTCCCGATGCGATCGTCAGCGCGATGCCGTCCGACCCTGAGCGGCACGGCCTCGGTTGTCAAGGGGCCGCGCGCGCCACACTCACTCTGGTACTTTTGCTTAAAGTCCTCGAGCGTTTGCTTGGAGACCTCGCCGGTCCAGAGCGTTTTGAAGTAGTCGTTCCAGTCGAAATCGTCGACGCCCTCGCCGATGCCGAGCTCGCGGGTGCTGCCGGTGTTGTCGTACTTTTTCCTCCTGACGTCGTCTGAGAGGACGGCGTAGGCGAAGCCGATCCTCTGGAACTTGAGGATGGTCTCCTCGGCCGACGGCGCAGCGTTGGCGCTGCTGCTGCTGCTGCTTCCGTTGGCGGCCGCCGGCGTGGCAGACGAGAGAACCTTGTCCGGGTGGAACTTGAGCGCGAGCCTGAGCGGGCGTCGCGATGCGGGGAGGCCGAGGGGGAGGGGATCGTCAGTCAAGCGGCGGTGCGGGGACGGCCAAACGCCCGGCATACAGGACGGACACCCACTTCTTGTATGCCTTTTTGATCTCGTCGCCTGTGGCCGACTTTTCTACGCCGAGGGTGGCGTAGAGGTCGACATTGCCGTCGGGAAAGAACTGGAGGGCGGGGTCCTCCTCGTCCATGGTGGCGGTTAGTTGCGAACGGGGTGCAGCGAGGAGCAGAGCAAGGGCAGCGGTGGGTCGAGCGGTGCAGCAGAGCGTCGCGTGTGGTGTAGCAGAGGAGCGAGCGGTGTGGTGAGCGGAGTGGCGATGGCGATGGTGGTGGTGGTGGTGGTGGTGGTGGTGGTGGTGGTGGTGGTGGTGTTCGGGCAGCAAGGGCCAGAATGAGGTCGCGTGTTGGCCTCGGCGCAGGCGCGGGTTGGGAGCGCGACGCGGATAGAGGCCGGCGCCCACAGGGCTGGCCGGGGCCGGGCCTAGGCCAACAGGCGGACAGGCAAGCGGACAGGCGAGGCCAGAAGGGCAGGTCAGGCGCCCGGGCCACGCGAAGGACGGCTCACAGACCAACACACAGCCTGCCTGGCCTCCACACGCTGCCCGACGTTCTGCGGGCCACGACGGCTTCCAACACCACCACCACCACCACCACCTCCTCCTCCTCCCTCTGCCTCGACCATGACCCGCGCCGCTGCCAACCGTACCGCAACATAGGCAACATACAGTCATGGCACGAGCGTCCTCGCTCGCTCCGCTCTATGCTGCGCTGGTCGCCATACGGGTCTGGTCGGCGCTACGGGGCCACGCCTACATCCACCCAGACGAGTTCTTCCAGAGCGGAGAATCAGCCTTTGGTGCGTGTCGCACGGCTCTACCTGTAGAAAACAGGGGCAAATGAACGCCGACCTCACCACACTCTCCTCGAATTGTCTCTTTCTCGATCGCTCAGGCGACGTCTTCGGCCTCGACACGCGAAAGATGTGGGAGTTCCAGCCCTCGTTTTCCTGTCGCTCCATGGCTAGCCTCCGCCTCGTCAACCTACCCGCCTCCATCTACGCCGCCCTCAGCCCGGAACGAGGTGCGTCGCCGATACCTTTTCTGTTGCGGCGGTATCTTCCGGCTGCGACCTCACCCCGACCCGACCCTTGCCATCCCTTCCGCCGCTTCTCTCACAGCACCGAAAGCCAGCACCCTCTTCTATCTCCAGCGCCTCACCTTTCTTGCGGCTTCCTTCATCCTCGGTACGGTCCCCGCTCGCCCATGACTACTTCAGAAAAGCTCCCTCATCCCGCTGAATCGCATCTCTCCCCCTGCCTCGTCAGACTACGCTGTCTTCTGCCTCGCGCCTCGCACCCGCCGCCTCTCTGCCCTCTGCCTGCTCGCGGCGTCGAGCTCCATCCTTACCTTCCAGGTCCGGCCCTTTTCCAATTCGGTCGAGTCGACAGTGCTCGCACTCAGCCTACTCGCCTATCGCAGCGCTCTGGAGCACCTCTCGCCCCCTGCCGCCGTCGTGCCGAGCTCGCCTCATTTGGCATCCGCAGCGCTGGGGGCCCTCGCTGCCCTCGGCCTCTTTTCGCGCTTCACCTTTGTCCTCTTCTTCCTTCCGATCGGCGTAGCTTTCCTCGTCACGCTGGGAACGAGCCCACGCAGTCGGCCCTCGAGCCGTCTGGCAGCTCTGCTCTCGGCAGCAGCTGCCTTTGCGACCATTGCAGCCGCCCACGTTGCCTACGACTCGCGCTACTACGCTCGCGGGACCCGGTGGGTCCTTGCGCCTTTCAACGCATTCACGTACAACATGCGCACCCAGAACGTCGCTCTCCACGGCGTCCACCCGCGCTGGCTGCACGCGCTCGTCAACCTGCCGATGATTGTCGGGGCGGCGCCTGTCGCCACGCTCATCTGGGCCGCCGTTGTGCGGTGCAAGAGGAGGTCGAGGTCAGGAAGCGTCGACAAGCGGGTCAGCGACAGGCCAGCACCTGGCGTGTCTAGCGGTATGTCACCAGACGACGACACCGACAGGACGACGGCCTCGCTTTGTGTTTGCGTTCGTTTCGGAGAGCATGATGATGCTGACCGACGTCCCTTCTGGCCCTCTTGTAACTGCAGCTGTGCTCTCATCCATCATCGTCACTTCGCTCGTCGGCCTCTCGATCTCGCCGCACCAGGAACCGCGCTTCCTCCTACCCCTCGTCGTGCCGACGATCCTGCTCTTCCATCGCCATCTCGGCTCGGCGTCGTGGCGCGGGGCTGCTCGCGGGACAAAGACTGCCATCGTGAGTTCGTGCTTGTGCTCGCGAAGCCAGCAGCATATGCTGACACCACTACGATCTTTGTGCGCCCGCGGACGTCCTGCCGACAGCTGGTCCTCTTTGCCGTGCAGCAGACGCTCCAGCTCTTTTTCTTTGGCTTCGCGCACCAGGCCGGCCTCGTCCCGGCGCTCTTGCACATCGACCGACACATTGTGCCCGACCTAACCCCGCTCGAGGGGCGGACACAGACGCCGACCAAGATCTACTTCTGGAAGACGTTCATGGTGCCTCGCCATCTTCTACCGTCCCTCAGCCGCAGCGACGAGGCGTCGACGGATCGCCGGGCGCATATCGTGGCATCGAACACGGTTACTGCCGTCGAGCTCGGCCGCGCGGTCCAGGAGGACCACGAGGGGGCGGCGACGAGCTTGAGCTACGTCGTCGCGCCAACCTGGGCGTTTCTCGAGCTGGCACAACACCTCGACTTCGCACGCGTCGACATTGTCGAGACCTTCACGCCGCACCTCGACATGGACCATATCCCCGAGATGGTCGGCGCCGTACGCAAGACGAGCCCTAAGACGGGTCTCGGCCTCGTCATCGCCACGGTGCAGCCATGACCGTCGGGCTCCTCTCCATTCTCGTCTTCGCTGGGCCCCATCTTCTCTCATCCTCATCTTCAACAGAGACAGAGAGAGGGTGAGCAAAAGGTGCGCAGGGACAGGGTATGATGTTGCAGGTGTTCAGGACGGTCGCCTCTATTCGATGCTGGGGTTCGGCAGTTTGCTTATTACGGCTGGTACATGCGCAGCGCCTCGACGAGGTCGCTCGCTCGTGCCGTGGCGGGCAAGGGGTAGCGATGGGGTTGCAAGGCAGGCAGGTTGGGTGGTATGCAGGTCGGTGGCCACGGTCGCGTCGACGACTCGGCACGCCGAGGATCCAGCCGCTCTCAATCTCGCTCTTCCCTCTTCACTCTTCCTCCAATCTCGACGTCACGGGGTGCGAGCGTCTTGTTTCGCAGGCGGCCCGGCTCAGTCCCAGATGAGCGCACCCGTCTCGCTGACCGACGCCTTGGCCGTGGGCACCTTTGCGCTCGTCGTCGTCGTAGTTCTTCTGCTGCCCGCGCCCGACGAGGGGAGCGGGAGGTTCCGGATCTTTTCCTTTTCCTGCTCCTTGCGGTACCGCGCGAGCTTTTCGAGGCGCAGCCGCTCCTCCTCCTCCTTTGCGGCTCGCTTGGCCGCATTCTTGGCGGCATTCTGACGCTGCTTTTTCGAAGCCTCGGCGGCAGCGGCGGCGGCCGATGACGATGATCCGCGAGATTTGGACGAGGATCCCGCCGTGGTCCAGGATGATACGGCTGGTCGGCTCGTCGTCGAAACGTTGCCGGACGAAGACGAAGGGAGCGACTTGACCTTGGCGGTGCTGACCTCGTTCGGTAGCGCGGCGAAGGGGTTGTTGGATGCGATCGAGGCAAAGCTGTTGCCGCCGCTCGCCGCTCCTCCCGCTCCTCCTCCTCCTCCGGCTCGAGGCTGGACGGAGCGCGACCGAGCGGCGCCGCTACCGGAGACCGACTCCCAGCCGTCCTCGCGGTCGGCCTGGGTGAGCCGCACGGTGCGGGGCTCCCGGGCCGCCGGGGCTGGGATGCGCGCGACGTGCGTGTACTGCGGCGTCGGGTCGACGTCCTCGTCGCGCATGTCGTCGAGCTGCGCGTGCAAGGCCTCGGTGCCCGCCTGCAGCTTCTTGCGCAGGCCGTCGTTGGTCCACGCCGCCGTCGCCTTGGCGCTGCCCTGCGTCGCCGCGGCCTCCTTGTTGCCGGTGTTGTTGTCTGCATCGTCGTCCGTCGTCTCCTCTTCTGCGGTCGAGGGCGACCCCGTCTTCAGCGTGCCGTTTGCTGGCGGCTGCTTCTGCTGCTGCTGCTGCTGCTGGGCCTTGTTAGCCTTCTTGCCGCCCTTTTTTGCGGAACCCGCGCCATTGGCCTGGCCATTGGCAGCAGGGGCAGCTGCAGCGGCGCTAGCATTGGCGTGACCATTCTGCTGCTGCTGCTGCTGCTGCTGCTGCTGCTGCTGCTGCTGCTGCTTGGGCTTGGCCTCGGACGATGCCGCCGCCGCCGCCTCGTCTTGACCCGATCCCGCCGCCGTCGAGGATGCGCCGGCCTTTTTCTTCTTCTTGTTCTTCTTGGCGCCCGCACCGCTCCCGCCGGCCACCTTTTCCGCGGCGCCGCTCGAAGAGCTCGGCTTGGACTTCTGGTAGAGGGCGTAGGCGAGGCCGAGGGTGGTGGCTAGCAGGAAGACGTTGACGCTGCTCATGCCGGGCAAGCAAAGGCTCGTCGAAGCAGGGGTGGCGGTTAGAGAACGAGAGAGACGGAGGCCGTAAAGGCTGGGCGGAGAGGCTACGAGGGCAAAGAGGCTGATGAGAAGACGAAGAAGAGGAGGGAGGAAGAAGGTGGGCAAGGTGGCCGCGGCAAAGACGCCGGTGGGCCAGCAGGCAGGCAGGCCAGCAGGGTGGTCGGTGCTGGGCGGTGGTGGCCTGCCTCGCTGTGGCCGCGCCTCTGTGCCACGCGGGGCCGGGCCAGCGGGGCGACAAGAACGGGCCCTCGTCGGCGTGCCAGCCAGCCAGCCAGCCAGCCAGCCAGCCAGCCAGCCAGCCAGCCAGCCAGCCAGCCAGACCACGCGAGCGACTCCAGGCCGGCCGTCGACGAAAGAGGCCAGGCTGCTCTGTCGTGCGAGAGACGGCCGGCGCTGAGAAAGCGGCGCGAGCCAGGTATCGGATTTTTCTTCCAGGGCGGCCCTCGCCCGCTCCCTGCCTCGATCCCGGCCATCACCACCGATCCAATCATCCCCCTGCTGGCCCCGCTGCTTTCTCGTCGTCCTTCCGTGTCATCGCCGGCCACGACCACCGCCACCACGTCTGCGCAGCACAGGGCATCGAAGCCGCCGTCGTAGCCCCCACCCTCTACTCTTTGACCGACCGCCGCCTCCCGAGCCGCTCGCATCGACATCGCTGCTGGCAGACCGACACCCCGGTCGCTCGACCTCGACACACCATAATGGCCGCGGCGCTGCTCCTTCAGCGGGCCTCGCTGCGTGCCATCGCCGCGCAGGGCAGCTCGTCGGCTTCGAGGCTATCCGCCTTCCCCGCCGCCTTCTCCTCTCAGTCGCGCAGCCTCTCGTCCTCGGTCGCACAGGTCCCCGCATCGCGGGCAGTCGCACGGGACCTCCGCCTCGGCGCCGCAACGGCCGCCGCAGCAGCAAAGGCCCCCGCCGTGCCCACGAGAAAGGAGCGGCGGCTGGCCATCAAGAAGGAGAAAAAGGAACGGGCCAAGCGCGCTGCCGCCTCGACCGTCTCGGCGCGGCTCGGCGTCGAGACCAAGAGGCTCTCGCCCTTTGTGCGCAAGGACCGTCAGTTCAAGACGTTCAAGCCCATCACCCGCTCCATCCGGTGGCTCCGTATACCGCTCAACGAGCACCTCTACGACGGCCGGCCCGAGCGCTCGCTGACCGTGGCAAAGAGGAACAAGGGAGGCAGGAACCACCACGGCCACATCACCGTGCGCGGCCGCGGAGGCGGTCACCGGAGGAGGCTCCGCCTCGTCGACTTTTACCGCTGGGAGTCGGGCGACCAGAAGGTCCTGCGGATCGAGTACGACCCGGGCCGCAGCGCCCACATCGCCCTCATCCAGCACAACCGCACCCAGCGCAAGAGCTACATCCTGGCCCCCGACGGCCTGCGCCAGGGCGACACGGTGCGCAGCTACCGCAGCGGCCTGCCCTCGGACATCACCTCGACCACCGTCGGCGTCCACGACGAGGAGGTTCCGCTCTCGACCGACCCTTCGGCGCCACAAACGGCGACGAGCTCGCCCACCTCTCCGGCCAGCGCGGCAGACGCCAGCGGCGAGGCTGCCGGCGCCGCCTCGCCGGGCGTGGGAGCGGGGTCGCAGCTCGACCTGGGTATCTTCCGTACGCTCGCCATCCGGCCGGGCAACTTTTTGCCGCTCAACCTGATTCCGATTGGCACGACGATCCACTCGATCACCCTGGTGCCCTTTGGCCCGGCCAAGCTGGTGCGGAGCGCGGGCACGTCGGGCCAGCTGGTTTCGTTTTCGGGGCGCAACGGCGCGGGCGACTCGCACGCCCAGGTGCGGCTGCAGAGCGGCGAGGTGCGGCTGGTGCCGTCGACGTGCTGCGCGGCCATCGGGACGGTGAGCAACAAGGACCACCAGCACGCGCGGCTGGGCAAGGCGGGCCGCAGCCGGTGGCTGGGCCGCAAGCCCAAGGTGCGCGGTGTGGCCATGAACGCCGTCGACCACCCGCACGGCGGTGGACGAGGCAAGTCCAAGTCCAACATGCACCCGCGCTCCATCTACGGCCACCTGGCCAAGTTTGCGCGCACCCGAAAGCCGGGCACCAAGAACGGCAACCAGATGGTGGTGCGCGAGCGCCCGCGCCGCAACGGCAAGAGGCTGGGCAAGCCGTGAGCCGGTGGCGGACTCGTCGTCGTCGTCGTCGTCGTCGTCTTCCTCTTTCCATCCTCCCTCTCGTTGTACACCTTGGAGTCTGAGCCAGAGCTCGATTGCACATGCACGGTCCCCGATGCTCGAATCGTGTGTTGTTGTGTGACTACAAAGAGCGCCGACGGGGCCTTGTGTATCGGTCTCGCTCACGGTCGTCGCTCTTGGTCTTTCTTGTGGTACAGAAGGGCCGGAAATGCAGGACGCTTAGCTGGCGCAAGTGTGCGCGCTGCCTACAACTGCGCAGTCAGGAAGGACGAGGGCGTGCTGCTGAGAACTTCGCTGCGGTTAGGCCCCGGGTCGAGTGAGGGGGGGCGAGGGGAGAGGGCTGGATGGCGGTCGACTCGCACGAGAAAGACGAGGCCGCATCGCACGTTCGTCAGCCCTCGCACGCACCCACGGCGATGGCCGAGGCTGGGGGAGAGAGAGCAAGATGGGTTTCAGAAGAAACGCAGCCAGGCATCGCTTTCAGGCGAGTCATGGGCCCCGCCTGGCTGGCTGGGCGGGCAGGCTGGGGTCAGAAAAATCAGGCCAAGGCCCGATTGGCGGGATTACGGGAGACAGGCAGCTGGCAGGCCAGGCGGCCGGGCTGCACGTTCAACCTGCCTGCAGCGACCCCAAGGCAGATCGTATCAGAGAACAAAGAGCGAGGCAGGCAGGCTGGAAGCAGGCAGGAGAGCAACACGCACCCACGCACGAGGCGGAAGAAGGTGGCGGCGGGACCATGTCGTCCGCCGTCGTTGGAAGATCCTCGCCGTGCTTTCTTCTTCTCCCCTACCACCCCTCCTCGCCGCCAACTCTCTCCTCTCATTCGGCGCACTACAATCACCCACCGGCCTTCATCCTCCCTGCTCCCTTCCCTTCGTCTGCACCTCTCTCGAGCAGGCAATCCTCTCGCTCGCCTCGTTGATTGATCCTTCCAGGCTTCGCGCTGTCCACGCCCTTGCAACAGCAACCGCAAGAGGAGCCTTTGCCACCTGCCAGTCGCACCGCTTTCTTCGCCCATCGCCGCCTCCTGTTCCTTGCCGCTCGATCTTACGAACCGCTTCCGCTCGCCACCCGCCATGTCGACGCCCATCGCCTCGTCTCCGCCGTCGCCGCCGCCCAAGGGCGATGCCTCGTGGAAGAGTGAGTGCCTCCGGTGCGGGCCCCCTTCCCCCTCTGACATTCCTCTCCTGGTGTGTGCTGGCTGCTGACGACGTTTGCTGCCGTCCACTGCGCCTTCATCTGCCCACTCCTTGTGCCTTGCCTCTTCCCCTCCCTTCCCTTGCCGCCTCTCCCCCAGTCACCAACAAGATTGCCAAGGCCGAAAAGGAGGGCCGCATCTGGTGGAGCTTCGAGTACTTCCCGCCGCGCACCGCCCAGGGCCTGACCAACCTCTATGACCGCATCGAGCGCATGGCCGAGCTCGGCCCCGAGTTTGTCGACATCACCTGGAACGCCGGCGGCCGCACCTCGGACCTCACGTCGCAGCTCGTCAAGACCGTGCACACCTACATCGGCCTCGAGACGTGCATGCACCTCACCTGCACCAACATGCCTCGCGAAAAGGTCGACACCGCCCTCCGCGAGGCAAAGGAGTTTGGCTGCCGCAACATCCTCGCGCTGCGCGGCGACCCGCCCGCCGGCCAGTCCGAGTGGGAGCCCCACGCCGCCGGCTTCACCTACGCCCATGAGCTCGTCGAGTACATCCGCGAAAACTACGGCGACTACTTTGCCATCGCCGTCGCCGGCTTCCCCGAGGGCCACCCGGAGGCCACCGAGGGCAAGGAGCTCGAGATGCAGCGCCTCAAGGCCAAGATCGACGCCGGCGCCGACTTCATCTTCACCCAGATGTTCTACGACTTCGACATCTTTGCCCAGTGGGTCAAGGACGTGCGCGCCGCCGGCATTACCTGCCCCATTGTCCCCGGAGTGATGCCGATCCAGACGTATGGCGGCTTCCAGCGCGCCACGGCCCGCTTCCGCACCATGGTGCCGCAGTACTTCCACGACGCCCTCGATCCGGTCAAGGACGACGACCAGAAGGTGCGCGAAGTTGGGCTCAAGCTCGTCGGCGACATGTGCCGTAAGATTGTCGGCAGCGGGCTGGGCATCAGCGGACTCCACATCTACACGATGAACCTCGAAAAGGGCTCGCGGATGCTGCTCGAGTACCTCGGCCTGACGCCCTCGGTCAACCAGGTCAGCCCGCTCCCCTGGACGCCGAGCCTGACGCCCAAGCGGCGCGAGGAGAAGATCCGACCCATCTTTTGGGCCAACCGGGCCAAGAGCTACGTCAACCGCACCGAGACCTGGGACGAGTTCCCCAACGGCCGGTGGGGCGACGCCCGCTCGCCCGCCTATGGCGACTTTGACGCGTACGGCGTCAAGCTGCGCTACTCGCCCGACGAGGCGCTGCAGCTGTGGGGCACGCCGACCAGCCTCGACGACGTCAAGCAGCTGTTTGTGTCGTTCTGCGCCGGCAAGGTCAAGGCGCTGCCGTGGTCCGAGACGGGTATCGCCAAGGAGACGTCGGTCATCGACACCAAGTTGGCGCGCATGAACCAGCTGGGCTACCTCACCATCAACTCGCAGCCCGCCGTCGACGGCGCGCGCTCCGACGACAAGGTCCACGGCTGGGGCCCCAAGGGCGGCTACTGCTACCAGAAGGCCTACCTCGAGTTCTTTGTGGCGCCCGACCAGCTCGAGGCGCTCATCTCGCGCATCGAGCTCGACCCGCAGGTGACCTACCACGCCGTCAACGCCCAGGGCGACATGAAGACCAACGTCAACTCCGAGGCGCCCAACGCCGTCACGTGGGGCGTCTTCCCGCACTGCGAAATCATCCAGCCCACGATTGTCGAGTCGATCTCGTTCCTGGCCTGGAAGGACGAGGCGTACGAGATCGGCCGCAACTGGGCGCGCATCTACCCGGCCGGGTCCGAGAGCCGCCGGCTGCTCGACTCGATCTTTGATACTTACTTCCTCGTCAACGTCGTGCACAACGACTTCAAGGCGGCCGACGCCATCTTCCAGCCCTTCCTCGAGGGGCAGGCGCAGGCGCAGTCATCGGGGCAGGGCGTCGGCGGAATCGTTTCGTCGACGCTCAAGGAGGCGGCCAACGGCGTCAAGAACGGCATCGACGGCGCGCTCAGCCGCCTCACGACGGCCGACGGGTCTGCTCCCGCGGTCAACGGCGCTTGAGCTCGAGCCGGCCTAACCCGCCTTGCGCGCTCTCCTCTCGACGAACGCTGCGCTCGCTCTGGACGATAGACTCGCCTCGCCTCGCCTCGCTCCTCTCTGCCCCGACACGCGGATCCCCCACCAAAACGGGTCGCTCGGGATGGACGCCAACCGTCGCCCAAGCCCTCCGACTAGACGACTGCGCGGCGCCGTAGTCTTCGTCGTCGTCGCCGCTGGCGTCTCGGATGCCCGACATTGAGGATCAACTCCTCTCTCCGCCGGCCTTCTCGATGCTCCCTCTACGACTTTCCCCTCTGCCCCTCTTCCCCCCCTGGTTCCAACGACTGCAACTTCTTCCCCTTCCCCATGACGACTCTTCCCCCCCATTCTTTCAACAAAGATACCTGCCTGCCCGCACAAACGCACGCACATGCCCACACTCCTGCATCTTTCTGTTCTCAACATCAGCATCTTTCCGACACGACACGATTCTCTTTCTCTCGTCCTTTCCCCATCATCGACCTGGCGCCGGCCGGCGCCGTATCAAGACTGCCTTGTATTACACCTTCCATCCCCGTCGCCGGTCTGCTAAGCTCAACGCTTCAGTCGGGCGACGCACAACCGCCGTGGTCGCACTCTGCGCCCATTGCTCTCCTCCCTCCGTCCTCCCCCGATCTCTCCCTCTCCCCTTCCCTCCCTCTCTCCGTTTTCCGCTGTCCCACCTCGTCCCTGTATGACTAGTTCAACCTTGGTCCCTGTATCATCCGCAAGTTCAACATCTGCACAAATCCCCTCGGCGGCCCCGCTCGGTTCCAGGCAGCGATTGATCCTCGTCGTCGTCGTCGTCGTCACAGGGCGGGCTGGGCGTGATTCGGAGAGAGGGGGGGACGGAGTAACATCTACCCGATTGCAGCGGAGGAGCGTATATCCGTGCGTGTTTGGGCCACGGACGCGCAGAACGAGGGAGCGGAAGCAAAGGCCGGGCCGGCTGCGATGACTGCTGCCAGCGCTGCTGCTGCCGGTGCCGCCGCTGCTGCTGAGTCCCTGCATCCGTTGGGCGACGAAGCAAGCAGGCAGGCAGGCAGGCAGGCAGGCAAGCAAGCAAGCAAGGAGCAGCAGCTACCGGTAGCGTCGCGGACAGCTTGGCGCAGGGCCAGGCAGGCAGGCAGGCAGGCGGTCGCGGGCGTGTCATCGTACGATACAGACGCGACGCCGTCGTCGATGTCGGCCCGGGAGCGATACCGTACGAGGATCTCGGCGCGTCTGCCCGCTCCCTCTCGATCGCATGAGCGGGTGCCCCTCCCCCTCGCTCTTCGGTGGGAAGAACGAGCGACGAACGAACGAACGAACGAACGAACGAAGAGAAGCAGGCAGGCAGGGAGGCAGGCCAGGGATCCAAGCTAAGGGGGCCAGGGAAGGAAGGGAGAAGCAAGCAAGCAAGCTGAGGGGGTCTGGAATGCAAGCAAGCAAGCAAGGAGACCTCGAGGGTCGGCTGTCGGTCCGCCTAGCCTAGCCTGCTGCTGGCTGCCCGCCGACGCACGCTTAAAATTCCATTTTCCTCGAGCTGCAGCCGGCCTCTCTCGCTTCACCCGCCTGCCTGTTGGTCTAGTCGCGGGACGTGCATGGCCTAGCCTGGCCTCGAACGCTGCTCACCTGCTCACCTTGCTTGCGCCACCACTCGGCCTGCTCCTCTTGCGCGAGCGACGACGACGACGACGGCGGCGTCGTGTACTCAATTCGGACCTCTCGATGTACATAGTTTGCGCCCGCCCGACAAGAACAGACGGGCGCTGGGGGCCACGGTGGTGAGACCCATTTGGGTGGCGTCGTGCGCTAACCGCCCGCGTAAGGACGGGGAGGCTGATGAAGGCGGGTCGTATGATCCAGGCGGCCGACTCTTCCTCTAGCTGGCCAGCTGCACGCACGCAAGCAAGATCGGCATGTCATACGAACGCCCCCATCTGACGGCGTAGCGAGGGCGGGGCGGGGCGGGGCAAGGCGAGGCGAGGCGAGCCTAAGCAAGCTGCTGCTGTTTTCGAGCGCCGGCCTGCCCTGCCTGCTGGCAGCTGCTGCTGCTGCTGCCAAGCTGGCTGCCTGCCAGACTGCTCTTCTCCGGAGGCACGCACCACGCACCCGCACCCGCACCACGCCCATCCACCGTACGTCGCTTGCTTGCTCTTCTTGCCTGCCTGCCCGCCTGCCTGCAATTGATTTGCTGCCGACGGCGCACCAGCCAAAGCAACCAACCCCGCCGCCGCTCCGCCCCAAACACGCACCCGACCCTGCCTGGCTGCTCGCTTCATCACAACGTAAACGCGAGCAGGCCATCCACCGACCGACCAACCACGGCGTCGAGTTGCGCGTCCACGCCCGCCCTCGTCTCGCCCGCGCTTCGCCTCGTAGGAGTCGGCGCACTTGTCACTCGCCGACCACCGCTGGCGGCGGCGGCGGCGGCGGCGGCGGCGCTTGTCATGGCAGCGGGCGGATGGGTTGAGGCTAGTGGGTGGCTTGGGGGTGTCGGCCAGCTCGGTTGGTCATGGTTCGTTTGAGCGCCTGGCGCGTGCCTAGCCTGTCACCCGGCGTTCCAGGGCCAGCGACGACGAAGACGCTCTCGCTGCTGCTAGGTGTACGCCTGTCAAGCAGACGTAGGGCGGGCACAAGTCAGGCAGGCAGGCAGGCGGGCAGGATCGACGACGGCAAAGCAAGCAAGCAAGCTGCTGAGGCTCTGCGCCCGGCTTTCGTCTGAGATGGAAGGGAAGCCCGTTCGTCATGCGGGCTGCTCGCGTCGCTTGTCCGCTTGGCTTTGCTTCCCTTTGTGCCTGTGCAGGCAGACAGGCAGGCCAGGCCAGGCCAGGCATACGCACGCACGCACGGCGTCTTGCCGCCCAACAACCGACGACAAAGGCAGGCAGGCTGGCTAGGACGATACGACGGACGACGGCGGTACTCCCTGGCGCCACCGGCAGATCAGGCAGGCCCAGGAAGAGGGGCGACGACAACGACGGCTCGTGTCGCGACGACCTCTTGCGTGTTGTGTGGGCGGGCAGCGGAGCGCCTGGCTCTGGGCTGCGAGAGCGAGATGCCTGCCTGCTGGCCATGGCCACGGAACGATAGATGCTGCCCTGCCTGCCTTGGCCTTGGCCCCGTCAGATCCCCCTTGCAGCCGACTCCTGCCTCTGCCCGCCTCTGCCTTAGCTTCTGCTCCGTCGGCCGCCGCTGACCTCTGTCGCTCGAGCCTCTGCACCGCTCATGACTACGGTACTACGGTAGCCTGCGCTGACACCTTGCCCCCGTCCTCGCTCCTCGCTCCTCGACCTCGCCCTCGTTTCTCTCCCCGCCCCCTTCACCCCCTCCCGCTCCCGTCGCTCGCTCGCCCCCTCGCTCTGCCCCTGCCGTCGCCACCTCGCACTAGACGATCCGCTAACTTGCCCGCCGCCACTACCAGCGCATTCCGCCCAGTTCTTCCACCACCGCTATCACTACCACCACCACCACAACCACCACCAACACCATCACCCTTGAACCCCCGTCCAGCGCCGCGCTCGGTCCCAGTCCCCTTGATACGGCTTATTGTCCTGCTTCGCCGTGCCTCGCACCACCTAGCCTGCTATTCGCCATCAGCGACGACGACAACGCCCACCGCCAAGACAACGACCCGGCAAACCACTCAGGTACTTGAACCCACCAGCCTCGTGCAGCATCCCTCTGGCCCGACACTCGCACATACCCCCTCAGGAACCCTGCCCCGGCGCATTGACCCTCCTCGCGGGCCCTTACCTCTCCGCTACCTCCCTGCGTCCCTTCCAGCCGGCCCACCTCGTCCCCCTGCGCTCGTCTACCCCAAGGCGCCACTTATCCCATCCGACACCGCCGCCGCCGCCGCCACTTCGTGCCGCTCGCCACTGTCCCTCCATCGGCATTGCTTGCCATCGAACCTGCTCACCTAGCCTCCTGCCATCTTCCGCCACGACCACCACCATCACCTTCGCTCACGTTCGGCCATCGCTGCCGCCAGACAACCAGAGCGCGAGCGCCCCCTACGCCATTCGACCTGTCCTCGATCTCGCAGGCCACCACGACGTGTCCGTGACGAGGCGGCCTTCGTAGCGTCCACCACAACTTGGCCGATCCGCAGCGCACCACCTGCTCGCCGCCGGACCGCCTGCCCCTGCACGGAGCGGGACACCCACCTCAGCCATGGTCTTTGTCGTCGTCAAGGAACAGCCCTCGAAAAAGTCCAAGCTCAACAACCTCTTCCGCCTTGGAAAGTCGTCAAAGAGCAACAGCCACGACAACGCGCCACCAGCATCGGCGCGCCAGGTCAACACGTCGTCTGCCAGGTCCATCAGCCATCCGGGCCTCGACAGTCCGCCCGCCACGCTGCCACGAGGCGCTCGCAAGACCTGGCAGGATGCCCGCAGAGTCCAGTCCGAGAGCCGCGAGCGACCCGGCTTCGCGTTCCCCGCCGAGCACGACGTCGACCTCACCTCTGAATTCTCTGACGACAGCGGACCGGATTTCGTGACCGGCAGCCCTCGGCAGCAGCAGCAACAGCAGCAGCAGCAGCAGCACGAGCGCTCCAGCTCGCTGCCCATCGATCAGCTTCTGAATAGCACGTCGACCCGCACCATCTCGCCCCACGTCCTCAGCCGCATCGAGACCAGCGATGGCGTCCTCGGCAGGCACGCGCGGCAGCGCTCCCACTTCAGCATCCCCGACGTTGTCATCACCGCCTGCGAAGAGGACGGCGAGGAGGTCCACGTCGAGATCGAGATCCCGCCGGAAAAGCGCCGCAGCTACGTCTTCGCCGAGCCCCCCGCGGCCAGCCAGCAGCCGGACAGATCGGCCAAAAAGGCCAGCGCCAAGGCGCAGAGGAAAAAGCCGACGCCGCTCATCGACCTCGGTCAGGAGATGGCGCAGGGCCTCGCCACTTCCTCCTCGGCAGGCAGCGTTGAGGGCATGGCGGCAGCGCACCAGGGCTCGCCACCACGAGCCGTGGCCTCGACCACATCGTCGGCCAGCTCGACGATGTCCAAGGGCATCGCGAGTCCGCCTAGCAAGCGGACGCGCAAATCGTCGTTCCCCTTGCTTTTTGGGCGGAAGAGCCTCGACTCATCGCGAGCAGCGGCGGCGGCGGCGCCCTCGCAGCCTGGCCCGATGCCCATGACGCCGTGCTCGCCGACGGCGACGTACGGCGAGCAGCACGTCGTGTACTCGACCCACTACGAATCCTCGACGTCGCTGCCGTCGTCGTCGCGAGAGTCGCTGCCGGGAGGACCGCCGAACCGCGGGCAGCTCTTCAACCCGAGCACGGCACTGCCCTCGCCGCCCGAGACGCCGGTGCTGGCGACGCGACCCCTCTCGAAAAAGGAGCTCAAGGCGCGCGAAAAGGAGGAGATGGCGCTCATCCGCGAACTGGAAAAGATCGACAAGATGGTGCGCGAGCACGACAACAAGGCGCGCAAGGCTGCCGAGCGCGCCCACGCCAAGGAGCAGAAACGAGCCGCTGCCGCCGACAAGCAGCAGCAGCAGCCGCAGGCGGCGACAAAGCGCGCCTCGAACGCCTTCAAGCGCATCACCATCTTTTCGGCGGCGAGCAAGGCAGGCCCTGCGGTCAGCGTGGGCCGGCGAGGCAGCGTGATGCGAAAGCGCGAGACGCTCGTCTCGGAGGATGGCAGGGCCAAGGCGCCGGTGTCAGCAGGCTCTGTGACATCGCCCAAGGAAGGCCGCTTCCAGTTTCCCATGCCGCCCTCGACGCCGCCAACGCCGAGGCGCGGCACGCCAGATTCCCCCGGCAAGGGCGCGAGGCCGCCTCCGGTCGTGGTCGTGACAGATGCCGAGGACGAGTCTGTTCGCGGACCGGCGTCGCCCGCCGCTCGGAGCGACGGGCAGAAGGATAGCGAGGAGCTCGACCAGAGCACATGGCGCTCTCAGGACTGGGCAGACCTCGACCCACGGCGGTCCAGCACGTTTACAAGCCTCATCAAACGCAACGAGCCGTCGAGCGGATCGACGCGGCCCGCCGCACCACCGAGCTCATACCGGTTCGCAGCGGCAATCGATGAGGACGAGGAGGACGCCGCCGGCGACGGAGAGGAGCGGTCCGGCTTCTCGCCCAAGCTCTCGAAGCGCGGCAGCGTCCAGAGGGCGCTCGCCATGGCCGACGCCGAAGAGACGATGCTGCGGAAGCGGTCCTCGATCCGACGGCGGGGGGACCGTTCGCCGCAGCCACAGTCGCCGCCGCTACAAGGGCCGCAATCGCCGCAACTGCAGCAGCAACACCAGCCGCAGCAACAGAAGCGTAGCTCGCGGCGGCTCAACAGCTCGGGCGGCCTCAGCAGCAAGCGTTCGTCGGTGGCATCCGACACGCGGCGCCGCAGCCTGATCCGTCAGCTGGACGCGTTCGAAGGATGGGAGGTCGCCGACCAGCCAGAGCTCGAGCGCCAGACCAGCCTGGATATGGCCAACTGGGTCGACAGCCTCGATGGCCCCAGCCAAGAGCAGGGCGACGGTGACGACGGAGTCGACTTCCCCCTCCCTTCGACGGCGTCGGCCATGATGCAGGAGATGCTCCACGTCGACCGCGTGCTCAAGGACCTGCAGGCGGCTCAGGCGGCCCAGGCGGCCGATGGCTCCAGCAGCGCTGCCGGTTCAACGAGCAGTGGCGGCAGCAGCGAGGCCAAGCTGGCTGCGACGCCCCGCAGCAGTGCCCGGGAACTCGACGGAAGCCTCGACGACGGCCAGAGCACGCCGCGCGCCAGCGTCGCGGGCATCTCGCGGCCCAACATCCCGACCATTTCTTTCACGCCGGCCTCGGTCGACTCCGGGCTAGACCAGATCGGCGCGCTGGGCTCTCCGATCCCGACCGACCGGGCATCAGGCATGCCCTCGCGCGACAGGAGCGCGCGCTTCTCGCGGCCCACCAAGTCCGACAAGCGGCGCGACTCGAACCCGGCCTCGCCGACGTCTCCTCGCTCGCCCGTCCATGCGCGCCCGGCCGACGCCGAAGTCCGCTGCGCCGGATCGCCGCCGACGACGTCGTCCTCGTCGAGCTCGTGCGCATCGACGTCATCGACGGCGTCGTCGCCGACGACGAGCGCCACGACGACGTTTTCGTCGACGGCGTCGTCCCCGGTCTCGCCCAGCCGCAAGGCCGAGTTCCGCATCTCGATGGCGCCGTTCCAGCCCATCGACCTGTTTGGCGTCGACGTCGACGGCATCGTGGGGACCGCCGACGACATCTGATGGCCCTGCCACGCACCGTCCTGCGCCCTCCCTCTTGCCTGCCACTCTCCTTCCTTTCACCTCTCTCTCTCTCTCTCT